GGCGCCCTCGGTGCCGGCGTACGGGTCGGCGTCGGTGCACTTCTGGCCCGGCTGCTCGGCGCCGCACAGGTCACACAGCTTGTTGGAGTTGTCGCCTGACGGGGAGCGGACGTAGGTGTTGAGAGCGGCAGGCCGCTTCACCGCAGTTAGGCCAACGGCGTGGGAGGACCGACGCCCTGCTCAGAGCACGCAGACACTTGGAGAGTACGGGGTTCGACACGTGACTCTTGGGCTGCCGCTGGCTTTTTGCCACCCATCACAACAGGTACGTCCCAGATCGACAGCAGGGATGGCAGGATGAGGAGGAGCCCGTGTCAGGCGACGACACCGCACACCCGAGACCCAGGCGTTCGGATCAGTACCACGCGGCGCGGGGGCCGGCCGGCCGAACGGGCCACGGAGCCGGAGCCGGAGCCGGAGCCGGGCCGGGGTCCACGTACCGAGCGGGTTGTACTGGGTGGTCAGCGCTCCGACGGCGCAGCTCTCCCCGAAAAACTCCGACACAGACTTGACGTGGTTGTTGCAGTCGGCGATGCTCATCTCACCCTTGGACATGAGCTGCCGAAGCGCATGTCACCGTCACCATCACAACACCAACACGACTGTCGACACCAGCCAGCATCTCCCTCTGTCCTCCGCCAACTATGCCGCCGGTGGACAAAACATGTGTACTACATGAGACGTTTGAAACGGCTCTGAAACCAGTTCACAGGATTGCGTGTACGACAAAATGTAATGCATGTAATGCATGCAAATGTAATGTACTGCATGTAATGCATGTAAATGCATGTACGACTAAACAGCACAACGCAAATTTCCAACGTAGGCTCGCAGTATGATCGGTTACGACAGACCGGTCAGAGCACCACCTTCTCCTCCCCAATGGTAACATGTCTGCATCGACACCAAGGGCCACAGAATCCACACGTTCCACAGCATGTCGTCTCCAGTCTAGCCGGCCGTCAGCGGGGGTTGGCCGACGGGTGGGCCGCCGGCGGCCGGGGCCGTCGCACCTTGGCGATGGGCATGACCCAGCCGGCCAGGCTGCCGACGCCCGAGAAGCAGGCCTTCTTGCCGCGGATGTCCGACAGGCGCCGGATGTCCGAGTCGCGCTTCACCACGGCCACCGAGTAGTACTCGCGCCCGCCGTCTGCCGCCGCAGGAGCAGGGTCAGCGGCGCGGCTGAGCGCCACGGCACGAGCGCCGAGGCCGGCCCGGCACCCAGCGGCCGTGAGGGCGCGCGGGCACCGGCGGCAACGATAGGTCAGCAGTGTCCCAGGAATCGCGCCCCAAATGCGACAAACCTCCGAAACCAGAGCAATTTATGAACTATTCAGAAATGCTAATGGGCAAATAGCCCTGATAACAGTTCTTGGCTACAAAAGCTCATGTGGCAGAAGCCACAATATAACAGCTGTCCACTCTACCTGCAAAGTGAACCGCTCATCATTCTGATGAAATCATCCCTGACGACTCGATAACACGTATGACTGGAACGTTCTCCATTTACCTGCATACACTTCTTGCATGATGGGGACCAGGCTATGGAAGCGACCGGCAATGAAGGTGAGGCCCGGGTCCAGGACCAGCAGGTCCGCCTGGTCCTGGTCCACCATCCGCATACACTCGCTGCTGTCGAAACCCTGGCAGACAAAAATCGCGGAAGCATGAAGTGCAATACACTGCAGGGTAGTGCACTGGGCGTATGTCAAAGAATACAGGGGCCAGTGGGCCTGGCATGCCGTTCAAGGATACAGTGACAGTTACCCGGTTTACATGGGCAGCCGAGGATAATTCGAATTAAGATCGGAACGGATCATGCGACGTTAACCCTCTCGGCGAGGGGCGTTTACATGGGCGAAACCGGCTTTACGTCGGATTAACGGTCGATAGTTCGATCCCGCTTAGTTCGAACCAAGGAACGGGTTATGGGCGAAAACTGCGCTTTTGAGGCGAACTGAACAAAACAAGAAGAAAAAAGCCGGTACTCTGCGTATGGATGGCGAATGTCACGAGCCATGGTGGGCGCGAGACAGCTTTGAGGGCGAGGAGGAAGATGGACTTCGTTGGAAAAATGATCTGTGCGGGACTCATAGGCTTTGTAGATACAGCACAAGCCATAGCACTTGAAGCACAGGAGTTGCGCAGTCAGCACTGCCAAATCTGTCACATAAGCAGTGTTATATGCAAATTTTTACTAGCAGGAAACTGGCTAGCACGAAATCAGTATTTTCTTGTATTGGCCAATGACACTCACAAACTTACCACACTCATCAGTATGCCACCCAGCATCATGTCATCTACTTTGCGCAGCCCAAGAAACACATTACCTAATCCCGTACCAATGCATTTATGAGCAGCCTGCAACAGTGAGCTAAGCTACAGAAATGACTCATGAATGCTACATAGTTAGTGGCAAAAATTGTGTAACTATGTTGTCTTTCCCCATCCAATGCACCATCAGTACCTGAGGGCAGCATTGCCATTTAGACTTGGCATGGACTGGCAAGTCAGAATGCAGCTATTTGCTTTCTTGACATACTAGGGTTGAAATACTGCTTTGATATCCTTGCAGTCAACAGCATTGGCTGATATGGACTGATGGCTAGGTGGCACAAACAGCCGTGTTCGCACAGTCCAAAGATCATGACGTGAACCAGCCCCAGAGCTGTCATGACAAAAGCAATCTGGGCTCAAAATTCATAAATGATTAATTATAGCAACGGCTCAATTATCCACCTCATGGTTTGCAAAGATACATGTCACAAAAAAGCACCAAGGCAACATATTTACTCACCAGTACAAAAACAGGTAATGATGTGCACTGCAGATGTTCTCTGCACATCATGTGGCATTAGGTTAGGTTTACTTAGTTTATGCACTGTTTTCTTCCACATGAAATGCACAAACCTGGATTTGACAGAGTACTGATGACAGCTAATTTCATCCAGTGCTCACATTTGCTTTCTTGACATTTTGGAACCATCACTGGGCAATTTTGGTCCCATCATTAAAAATAGTTCACATTCTGCACTGACTGCAATGATCTATTGCCTATATTTGTTGATCCTTTGCATCATGCAGGAATTATTGAGTTACCTATCTCACACACATTAAACCGACAAGCAACAAACAGCCTAATTGCATCAAAAACAAATATTCCAGCCCCCGCTTCCTTGCCAGTTGGTCTACCAGTGTGACGTAACTTCATATTTCCTTGACAAGCCAGTCACCAATATCCAGCACATCCCTCCTGCCAATAGGTGGTCAACCAAATGTTCAAGTCACAGGAGGAATGTCTGCAAAATCAATCCTGGGACATTTATGTATTCACCTAATGAAAGAAACTATTGGTACTCCCTGCAAGAATTGTTGAACAGTTGAATTACCTACCTCGTGGCCTGCAGACACCCATCACAAAAAAGCACCAAGGTGACATATTTAATCACCAGCACAAAAACAGGTGATGAAATGCAACACAGACGTGTTCTCCATGCAGCATGTGCCATCGTGTTAGGTGTTAGTTCATGCACTGTTTTCCTGCACATGGAACACACAAACTTGGATTTAGCAGAGTAATGATGACAACTATTTTCATCCAGTGTTCACATTTGCTTTCTTGCTGTTTTGACCCCATCATTGGGCAATTTCGGTCCTACCATTAAAAAAGTTCACATTCCGAGCTGACTGCAATGATCTATATTTGTTCATCCGTCATATCATGCAGCAATTTTTAAGCTACCTTTCTCACACAAATTAAACTGACAAGCAACCAGCATCCTAATTTAAGGAACATCTGCAAAAACACTCCTGGGGACCTAAGGTATTAACTTAATGAACGAAACTTGGAGGCATTCTCTGCAAGAATTTTGAGCAATCCAAAAATTAAAATGAGAACAAGTCAAAGCTATATAAAATAACCATATTACCTCCATCTGGCTTTTGGAAGCATGGAGCCTGCCCCAGATGTAAACTAATCTAACCTTTAGGCGGAAAGATAGCACCAAACACCGTCGACGCCTGCTGTCTGCATAGATCAAGCGCCTAGCAAGGCTAAATTACGTGAGCATTTCTGTGCTGCTAGCCACTCAAGGCCCTCAATAATAAGAGTAGTTTTAGCAGCATGATGTCAACTTCACCTTCCTTCTCTTTTCCCTTACCATCTTGGACTTGAACCGTCTCGAGCAATAGCTAAAAACCCGTGGAAAATCGGTAACACCGCACAAAGCTGAAATGGCTATGAACAGAACTGCGTGCGCCAGGCATTTTTCTTTTTTTTTTGTTTAGACAGCTGACGGCCGATAATTCGGACGAAATCCCTTCCTGAACGGATGATCCTCTCGCGGGAAGGGATTTCCTCCGGCGCACGATTCGAATCAGCGGAACGGCGCGTGAGTGTATACATGGGCCGGATAGTTCGGATCGAGGACGGGTCCCGGCTTAATTCGAATCACAGCTGCCCATGTAAACAGGGTAACTGAGGGGTGTGGGGGGGGGGGGGGAGCTGTTTACAAGTGCTGAAATGAAATCGGGCAGTGGCCAGAGGCCTACATAGGGTCGTCTGATGCAGTGGTCGGACCTATTCAAATGTGTCCAAATTTGCCAGTGAGTGCTTGGCGCGGCGATGGCCGAGCGAGGCGATAAAGAACGCCAGCGCTCCCAGTCTGCCTGGAGATAATGCCAAACGCCGGGCTTACGGAGCCAAACGCGTTTCATAGCTCACACCAATGGAGCCAATCACAGTGCTGAAATGCCACCTTTCATAGCAGTTTACCAGACTGCTATTTCAGGGCTTACTTAGGTGGTATTTCACAAATAGCACTGCTTGGAATGACTGAGCCCGGCGCAGGGTTATAACTTCGAACAAGGAAACTGACAATGAACTGTGGTGCCCAGTTGAACTATCATGGCTTTTGTTTTTATATTCTCTTTTGTAACTAAAAATGCAAACATCTTGGGTACAATGGTCACACACCACTAAACACCTCCGAAGTTTTCGTGACAAATTGTCTCCAAGTTCAGAGAATATCTTAAGTTCGACAGTTTTCAGAAAGGATGTCATTGGCCGATATCCCGCTGATTACTGGCGCACCTACAGGTCGGACAGCTTTGAAATGTTAGTGAGCTGTAGCTGGTAAAGTCGCCAACACCGCGCAGGCGGCTTTGTCGTCGGCATTGGGTCCTTACGACGCACTCAGCTACTGAGGCTATATGGCGTCGCCTGCCTTCCTGCCTTCCCTGGCAGAAAGGGCAGGCACCATGAGGAATCAAGCCCAGTACCTCTGGTTCCCCAAATATGCAGTGGTGAACACAAACATGTTAACTGCTGCAGTGCCCTGTGCTCTGGGCACTGAGATCTGACATGTCCTTCAAAACAACCCAAAGCAGACAGAGCCATGGCTTGCAAATACAAGCAGGCATGTGGCTTTCAGCACACAGCCCCCCCCCCCCCCACCCCCTACCAGTACCAAAACCATTGCATGGTATCTCTTCAATCAGAAACCACAAATTGTTTCTGTACAGCTGGGTTGGTGGGACTTGGACAGCTCAGATTCCTCCTCCTTGAGTTTCAGTTATGACAAGAAAACTACATTTTCGCACTAATCAGATAGGAATGGGAAACTTGTGATAATATTGGAACATTGGGGGAGCAGACACTGTGCACACACCTAGTCATCTACATTGTTCAACATGTAAAGAGCTACAGTACATGTTGTTTAAAGCTGGATGAGCCTGTCAACAGTAATTGCAACAACATCTACAAATCATGACAACCAGGCAAGATTGGGCTGTGTGACCCAAACATGTCCTCATAGAACACAAGTGAGACTTGACTGGCCCTGTGGTAGAACAGATTGCAAGACACATTGGTTTCTCCTTTTTGGCAGTTACCCAACAAACACCATGGCAAGGTTGATCAGCCAACTTTATATTTGACTACCCATGAAACAATTATTTGCATGGTGTGTGCCAAGCAGGGGTGCAGTTTCCTGGTTAAAAGACAGGCCATGTCCATGGACACACCAGTTAGCCAGCACATTTTGAGGGATGCTTTGTCATTTCTCACTGCTCAGCATCTCCCACTCATTTTGAAAACAAGCTATCTCCCTGATGCTGAGACAAAACTGATCATAATCATCTCTGACATAATGATACCAATCAGAGATGGGTGAGATTCAATATTAGTTTAAATGTCACACTTACCTGCACACATTCCACTGAAAAAGCATTGAATCCAAACTTGTAGCTTTCTTTAATCAGGGTCTTGTTGAAATCTGAACATTTTTCTTGCTCATAGACGTTCAGCGTACACCATCTTATGTGACCAGCAAACAATGCTGCAAAAGCAATTGGTCATTTTGAACACAATTAAGCAAATATGCATTGCTTGGTAGCAAAAGGTTGATGCCACTGCACTCAGGACACAAATATAACTCTTGGTGTCATACAGTTTGACCACAATTATTCTCATAACTGAGCCTCAATATTGGACAGAACTGTGATCATGACATATCCATACTAGCCACGGTTAGCTCTAGGACATTAATAAATTGAATGATCAGAATAACAAAACCAGACTAACAGAAAGAACTGAAAATGTGATACTGGATGTCATCAAGGCAGTGGTGGTGTGAACATAATGATATACCCTAGTGTATCATGATAGTCTAGGAATTCAAATAGTAGCTCACTAGCTAAACTGGTTTAATAGTTTACACTATTTGTGCTGCTCAGAGGTACACTGAACCAAACATAATATTTTTAGGTTCTTTCCAGGATAGTTATTATGACCAAATGTCCTGCCCAAAGATGCAAACTCAAAATTTTAGGTACAGAAAAGCATTTCCATTTTTATTCTAAGTGACAAAAAGCTTGCTCTTTGATAGAGGCCAGTGAGCCAGTGAGACCAGTGGGCCATCACAGAGGAATTCACAGAGAGAACCATAAGCTTACAGACTCACAGGGGCCAGTAGGCCTGCAGAGACACAGAGAGACTGGTGAGCAGTGAACAGATGGATCTATCTGCTGATAATCCTTGAATATTAACATCATATACCCTTACATACATATTTCATATTATGCAATCACAGATCTTTTATTTTATTCAACACTATTGAAAACGAACCTTCAATTGCAGTTTCAGGATGAAAAATTAGGTACTTTTGAAGTGCATTCTGATTGTGATTAGAGATTTATAATGATTATAATGCTTAAGTGAAGTACCTGGTGGTTTGCCACTCATGCTACAAAACCAGTCCAACCACAATCATCAATGAGCTGCGAATATCCCACAATGACAGGTGAATATTCATGTCACATGTCACAGCTGCAATTTAGGCCCAATTTATGGAATGTGGCAGATTTTAAGATATCTTGTTGGGCAGGGTTGGGGCAAGAATTTGGGGTAGGTCTTACAGCTTTGAGTGCACAGGCATGGAAAACTGTTTTGGGTGATATCTGATCACATAATGGATATAGTACTGGACCAGGGTACATATCACATGCGAACAGAAAATGTGTGATGGTTAAAACCAAAGATGTGCCATTCCATAACAATAAGGGCAACCCAAAGACCAAAAACCTCCAAATAAAAAAGCCATCTGCCTCATGGGGCAGTATTGGACCTGTTCTCAACATCATATTAAATGGTCTGCCACCTTTTCCAGACCAGGTTGAGGTTGATAAATTCACGTTACTTATATTCAATAGATTAACAGGTGCAACCTGGTTGATGACATTCAGACTGAGCTGAATGCGTATTAGGAATTTGGGTATCGATGCACCACAACCGCCTCGTTGTTTGGCGCCCCAAATACACCTTAAATGCGACAAAATTACTCACCTTCAGACTGGCCCCACACAAATATAATAAGCACACAGGCACCAAATTTCCGCACGGCAGAATGAGATCCCATGTCGGATGCGAAAGCAACGCGGAAGCTCGACACTTTTCGGCTATCTTGTGGACGTGCTACGCCATTCCATGCACTGGATCCAATCTTTTAACGCAACGGAACAATCTCGATGATTTTGCAAGCAAAGATAACCCGCGTTAAAGCTGTGAAATCAAGATAATGCTCAAAATAAACAGCGACGAATTCAAAACGCAGCGGCGGCCAGGTATTTCAAAACAATGCAGAGCTGCGTCGCATTAAGTGCGCTCGGGTGTGTCTACCAAGAGTTCTAAAAATAACAAGGCTTTATCAGCGCTGGGCGGAAGTGTTGAACACACCTAAGACAGATGACAAAAAGTCCGAAATTTCCAGCGCAATAATTAACCTATGGCTTGACAGCATGAACCCAAGCCTATAGCAAGTTAATTGTTCAGTTTCCTTCAATGATAGGGACGGTATCAGCCGTTCTCTCCTGAGCGACGGCGTACCTGGCAAAGTGCGCCCCTGGACGGCTGGGAGGCGAGGGAGGCCGTTTATTATATATGCGCCGTCGCAATATGTCGCAGCATGGTTTCGGGTACCGTGGGCGCTGCGTAATTAGGACTGACGCCGTCGTGGGCAGAAGGACAGGGAGAGGGGACGGACATGCCCCCCCCCCCCCCCACGACTCTGACAATTCCTGTAAAACCCGTGCCACGCTTGCAATAAATTAGGCTTTGTAAACAGGATTAACCGTTCCATTTCCCCAGACACCGCGACGCCTCCGTACGCAATTAACACCTCCCCTTTTTTCAACAGTCGTGCACCTGGGACTCAGCCACACAGTGAACATATCCGGATGTTTTCGAGGTCGGTTTGCTCACCCTGTTGAGGACGCCCACAGCGCGACACATCGAGTACCGTAAACAAAGTCATTACGCCCCACTAAACGCTGTTTAACCAACACATCACCTGACGTGCGGGGTGTTCAGGTTGTGTGGCGTGTTGTAAGGTGACTTAAAAGACGACATTAGCTCACCATTAAAGCGTTTTACTCATAACCCCGAAAAAAGAGCTGAAGTTCTGTCTTGTGTAAATCAAATCTCATCCAAATTAATCGCTCGCCACGCATGCAGCCTGCGTACATTATCATGTAGCACGTGATGGGTCAGTTCGCTCACTCCTGCAGTGTCAGCATATCGTGTTGTCAGCAGCTGGCCCTGAAGTTAGCGCCGCAAACAAATCTCTTACGAGTGTTGTAGTAGTTTTTAGTTTAAAACCAGTTGTAATTTTTTTAGACGCTTCTGTTTCCGTTCCACAGTTTGAGTGATTGCGTCGCAAGCCTGCCCACCAACCGCCAACCAGTCTAATTTCCGGACGCATACATGTGCCCTAAGAAACCTTTGATGAGTATGACGAGTTCACAATGTTCGGGCACATACATGAACCCTGTGAGAAGCCTTCAAACACACCGTCCGTAGCACATTATATTATCAGCACGCAACATATCGACAGCGCACAGTCCCCCTGTCCGCAGCACTAGAACACTATCGACGGGTCTGCCATCTGGTGCACGTCCGGATGATAGATGTCCTCCGGGAGATCCGCCACCTCTTCTGGGGTCAGCAGTTTCGCCGGCTCCTTCTTTTTCCTGCGATAACGAAAATACTATGGGGCCGAGCGCGCTTCCCCTAGCAACGGCCGCGCGTGCAAAACATGTACTTCACACGCATGGCTGAGCCATACCATGCTAATAACGCCAGTGTCCAGAGCTGGTGCGGGCGTCGACGGGCAAAGAAAAGCATCGATTGTTTTACGGACACCGCATGAAACGACAGGAAACTAGGACACTTTTCACTCTTGAAACAGCCAACAAAGGACCTTATAAGTAGCTGACTAGAACCTGTAACCCAGCCGACCTGCCCTGACTCGACAGCCGGTGGCCAGCGCGTAACCTGACCTGAGCGGCAGGACCGTGTCGTAGATGAGGACGTAGCTGTTGTGGTCTCCCGGGACCGCCGGCCCTCTCACATAGATCACGTCATACTTGGTGTTGATCCTCAGGATCTGCCGCGGACAGCACGCAGACAGAGGTCACGGAGAGCGGACCGCCGCATCGGTCAGGAACCGGCAGCTCACAGCCTGCCGCTCTGCCCACTGACAGCGTCGGGGCTCGCCGGTGGCGGCGACACAAGCCGTCCGGCACGACTAACGCCACAGCAGACGTCGTGTGACGCCAACACTGGTCTGGCACTAGCAGGGAATCACGCCACATGGGCGTGGAGAGTATAGCGGCTTTCATTTACAGCCTCTGAAACACCTCGTAAACCCACTCTCATAACTCTTTACGACGGGCTTATCTTCATTCCCCGGTTACGCCATTGTCATGGGTCGTTTTTAACGATAACTGCTTTTGGTACGAGACATCCAAAACCTTTAAAACCATGGACCTGACAAATTCGAACACATCACCTTATCTTTTTCTGCGTCACACAGCTTAAGGCTGTGGTACCCAAACATTGTTCGCCACCCGTCCGGGACCAGTGCAAGCCACACCCCCGCCACACTAGCCTGCCAAGCACCAGCGCCCGTTTCCCCCGCCCACCTTGAGTCCGCGCAGGTTGAGGTGGTGACCAAACCAGCCTGCCAAGCACCAGCGCCGGTGCCCCCCGCCCACCTTGAGTCCGCACAGGCCGCGGTAGTGACCAAACCAGCCTGCTAAGTGCCCGCGCCGGTGCCCCCCGCCCACCTTAAGTCCGCGCAGGTTACTGTAGTGACCACACTAGCCTGCCAAGTGCCCGCGCCGGTGCCTCCGCCCACCTTGAGTCCGCGCAGGTTGCGGTAGTGACCACACCAGCCTGCCAAGCACCAGCGCCGGTGACCCCGCCCACCTTGAGTCCGCGCAGGCTGCGGTAGCGGCCGCCCATGTGCCCGGGCATCTTCTGGCCGGGCCAGACGCGCGCCTTGTTGGCGCCGCTGCCGATGCCGCCCGGCCGCCGGTGCGTCTTGGTGGCGCCGTGCGTGGCCGGCTGGCCGGCGAAGCCCCACCGCTTCATCACGCCCTGGAAGCCCCGCTCCTTGCTGGCGGCAGGTGGACGGCGGACGGTCAGCCGACCCCGCCGGGCCTGGGCCTCGCCACCGGCACAACACAGGCGCACGTCGGCCCAGCTGCTCCTCAGCCAGCGGCTCGGGCCAGCAGCAGCGAAACACGACAGGTTCGTCAAGGTTCGATAATCGGCCTGACCTTCCACTCATACCGGCTGACCGTGATCCGCATATGACACGCTTAGTTTTTTAATGACGCGATATTAGCCTCGCGGCAACGGAGAAGCTCTCCAGCAAGACCGCCAACAGCCTTTTCGCTGCAGTCACATGAATGCACAGTAAGACCAGGTCACCGGCACTCAACACAGTCTGCAAACTCCGCCACCCACAATGCTTCCTCAGCACAGGAAAAAGCTAAAACGGCACATGCGGCTCTGATCAACATGTCACAAACAATTATGCTCGAAAGACAGCTGGTGTGGTCAGTGGGGCATGACTGCCCAAGCCTCAAACGTCCACGACCCGCAGTGCCAAGAACCCTGCGATTTCCTAATGACTGGAGCAGAGCTACAGGATCAGCTCAGAAGGTTGTCATAACAGCAGTGCCCACACACATGAAACAAACACATCACGTGACAGAACAAACGAAACCTGACCCGCTCGCGTGGGCCGGGGACCGATTCGACCAATAAACTCACTTCCCCCTCCCCCTCGCAAGGCCACCATGATTGAAATATGCCAGGGACTCACGTTTTGCCGAACACGTCCACGAAGTCTCCGACGTTGAAGTGAGTGGCCCGCAGCACGGTCCCTGGCGACAGCGCAGCCGACGGATTGATGACAAAGCGGGTCAGCTTCCTCGTCGGCATGATGCCCGCCTCCAGGAACAGGTTGGCGTACTCCTTCGTGAACTGCAAGTGGCGCGCGTATCAAATGAGAAGTCAACGGCCGCACGGCTCAGCTCAAACGTCAACAGATATGTGGACAACATCTTCAACACCCACAATCTCAACCGACCTTCTCGTTTACTTAAATTAATATGTATCTACCAACGCAAATCTACGTGACCAGGCACATGCCCTTATCTCCGAGAACGACTTTTTCGATAGCGTAAGAGAGCTGTCCTACGTGCCTCCGTGTCCGCACCCTGTATCCATCACATGTGACAAACAACCAGGGGCCGGAGCGTCGACAGCGCACCTTCTGCGGGTCCTCCTGGTCGGCGCCCACCACCAGGCCGGCCATGTCGCGGTACTGGCCCTTCCAGCGGCGCTGGACCACCTCGTTCGTGTTCAGCAGCTCCGGCGGCAGGTAGCGCACCACGTGATTATCGCGCACCTGGCGGAGCGGCCGGCGCGCGCCGCTGTCAGACGGTGAGACGCGCTGAAGCTGTCACTGTCGCAACACGGCGACACGGCCGACACACATCGTGGCGTAGTCTTCGGCATGAGACACATGCCACGGTCACGGAGCAACGCGGACCCTTCACGAAACACAATCTCTCAACAGCTTACGTATTTCGACGCCTACTTTCTACGAGGAGAGGGGGGGGGGGGGGGGGCGGGAAGGGCGTCAGAGGGCGCAGACGCGCAACCGGTGGGCGAGGTTTAGTGGGCACAGGAGTCGGGCACGGTCTACTAGTTGTGATGCCACAATGAGCACTGGTGCCCTGAGTGCAAAGCCACGAGCATGGGGCGAGCGAGCACGCGCACCAGGCGATCAAATCACGGATCGCCACACAGAAGCTTCACTTGGCCCCACCGTCTTCCTCAAACAGCGCCCCTTCCCAACTCCCATCTGCCGCAGCAGCGCCACCGGCGCCCACTCACGTGTAGCAGCGTGGCGTTGATGTACTTCCCGTTCTTCAGCCACATGGGCTGGACGCCGATCTTGCGCGCGATCAGGCCGGTGCGCACCACGCCCGGCGTGTAGGGTATCGGCGGCGCGGCCGCCGGCTGGCGCAGCGGCGACGCGCGCCGGTCCTCCACCGCCTCGCGCAGGAAGGCCTCGTTCTCGGCGCTCAGCTCCTCCGGGTAGGCCTGCCGGGCGGCGCGCAGTGCTGGTGAGCGGTCAGCGCGGCGGCGCGACGGTGAACGGCGAGGAGGGATAAGGAGATGTAACCCACAGGTACGGTGATAGGCGACGGGGAAGAGTCAGGGGAGTTGTGGACCCCGGGTACGGTGGTGGGCGGCGGGGAGGAG